TCAACTAATCTGGAATTATGACAATGTAGGGCACAATAACCAAGTCTCTGACTACCAGCTTTGAGGAGGTTCGCGAGGAGATAACCAGCTTCATCCTCCGCGAAATAATTAACCCCAAAGGAATGTTTAGGCTTAAACTAAAATGATGAACAATGTTGAACTTCTATGTTTAGGCAATGATGAACACTTATTATGCAACTGTGATGATGTAACTGTGATGCTTATATTTATGTATATATTTCATATGTTTATGTTAAGACTTGCTAAATAAATATTTGATCCAATTAACTCGGTTTTGCAGGTGAAATATGATAAATATTTGAATGGATGTGAAATATGTGAATGGATGTGAAATATGAGATGGCTGTGAATGTGTGGTTGTGTGAAATATGTTGATGTCTGTGTATGTGAATGCATATGTATGAATGGGTGATGCTGGGGAGCTGGGGATATTGGATATCTGTGTTTGTTTCTGTCATTTTTGCAGCGGGCATGGCTAGCAAAGGCCTGAGGCTAGCCAAAAAACAAAATTTATTTTTTTTGTGGATTATAGTCATCTGTGACGGACCATAACTAAATGCCCGATTGAGATGAGGTCATCTGTGACGGGCTCTAGCTTAGGCCCGATTGAGGTCAGCAGTCATCTGTGACGGGCTCTAGTTTAGGCCCGATTGAGGTCAGCAGTCATCTGTGACGGGCTCTAGTTTAGGTCCGATTGAGGTCAGCAGTCATCTGTGACGGGCTCTAGTTTAGGCCCGATTGAGGTCATCAGTCATCTATGACAGGCTATAGTTTAGGCCCGATTGAGATGAGTATCATCTGTGACGGGCTCTAGTTTAGGCCCGATAAAGGTTAGTAGTCATCTGTGACGGGCGCTAGTTGTGGCCCGATAGAGATAGGTCATCTGTGACGGGCTATAGTTTGACTGGTCGTCTGGGTCAAAGCTATCGGTGACGGGCTTTACTTAGGGCCCGATTGAGATATATTCATTCGTGACGGCCGTTTGCCCGATTGAGTTAACTCTTCACATCAGTGACTTCTAGCCTGTGACGGACGCTGTGCCCGATTGAGATGGGGCTTACCGCCCGATTGAGATGAGGGTATCCGTTCTAGTGAGCCAAAATTGAGTGATGGTGAAAACAATGAACATTAAACCTATAAATCAGTTTTAAAATTCAGAATTAGCTGCAACTTGTAAGCCTCAGGTTAAACAAGCCCTCAAGTTTTATAAACAATAGATCAGATGAGGAAGAAAGCTCCGAAGTTAATTATTAAGTTAAAGTAGATCTTAGCATCACAAAAAATTGAGGCTTTTGGAATACATGTTAGGAAAAACGTAGAGACATTTAAAAAAAAACAAGAATTGAAATCATATCCAAGACGTTGAACTCCTTGTTTATTTTTCCATGAAATCGAGCTATAGGAACGTGCAATCCTACAACTTTTTTTCCTTTCCTTTCCCACGAGCTACTGGGATCAGTAGGAAAATTCTTTCGAAAGTTGAATCCTATAAAAAAATTTATGCCAATCCTCTATTCACTTGAGGCTCCGTGGACAGAAGATATATACTCCCTTCGATTGCATAGGTAAGGGCATCCACAATGTGCATTTAAAGTGGGTAGTAAGCAATAAAATACTACTACTAACAGGTTGTATATATTGTAAGAGTAGTAAGTAACTAATACCAGGTAATATGCTTACTACCTAGTCATAAGGAATAAACAAATAATTTCTCTCATCTTTCTCTCATGGCTAGTGATGGTGGGGTCCAGCTTACTACCCACTTTTGTTCTTTCACCATTGTGGCTACAACAACAGCTAATACCCACTGATGCAGGGCTCACTCTTATACACAAAGTAGGTAGTAAACATTGGTGATGCCCTAAGTCGTATTAGGAGTTTAGGACTTATACACCTGTAGATGCAAGCATACAGTACAGAAACGACACAGCTGGTGATTCTCAGCCTAATAGCTCGCTTGCACGTGTGTCGGTGCCTGTACGGAGAGGCTGTGCTGTTCCATCGTACGTACGGAAACGTACTGCCGGTGCCAGCTCGACTAGGCCCAGTTTGAAGATTATTCACTATTACTGGTACATTATTATGGCCGATTGGCGATTATCTATCTATCTAATTATGTGGATAAATTAAATTCTTTTTTTTAGTAATGGAATAGAATCCGCGGCCTTTGCTTAACGTGTTACAGCCAATTATTATAACAATTCATCCAAACACAAACATACCTCAACAAGTCATAAAGAACACGCTTTAATAAACAGAAGCACACACCAACTCCTAAACACCAACACAAGAGCAAGACCACATTATTATTGAATCCTATTTTTAACCTCCATCCAAAGTTGGCGAGAAACTGCATAGCTGTTGACTCAAGATTATAACATGCAGCTTTAAGAAAATATTTTAGAAAATGGTAACAAACAGTTAAGAAAAATGGTTTAAACAATACTCCCTTTGTCCCTAATAAAATCAAACCCTAGAATCTCAAGAAACTATTAAGGAAAGAAACAAAAAACCAAATTACCCTTAATTAATGTAAAATTTGTATTGGTTGATGAGCAGGTGAGGGGTATTGAAGTAATAAAATTTCTCGATTTGCATATTAGTGGCAGGTAAGAAGGTAGGAGTTGGTTTATTTTGGGACAAATCAAACCGTAGAAGTTGGTTTATTTTGGGACAGAGGGAGTATAGTAGAAGATTTTTTTAGGGATGCTATATAACGCGGGATGATACCAGTTAGGTATCAAGTCCGGTATTGGGTGATACCTATTAGGTATCAAGTGATTCTACCACGTTTCAGGTGATACTTGCGAGGTATCAGGTGATACCTATCAGTTATCATGCAATTCTTGCCACATAGAAGGTGATACTTGTGAGGTATCAGGTGATACCTATCAGGTATTAGGCGATACCTATCAGGTGATACTTGCGATGTATCATTAGGTATCACGCGTTACATACCTGACATCGACGCCGACGACCACTGCCGCCCCAGCGCCCCTTCCTCCCTAGCTCCGGCCACCGCCGCCGATCCCTCCTCCGCCGGCTCCGGCGCCGCACCACCGCCACCCCCTCCCTCCCCCGGATCCGGCTCCGGCCACCGTCGCTGCTCCCTTCACTGGCTCCGGCCACCGTCGCCGCTCCCTCCCCTGTCTCCGGCCACCGGCGCGCTCCCTCCCTCGGCTCGGGCCACCGCCGCCGTTCTCTCCCTCGGCTCCGGCAACCACCACCGCCCTCTTCCTCGACTCTCTGGCTCCGGCCACCGCCGCCGCCCCATCCCCCTACTCTCTAGCTCCAGCCACTGGCGCCTCAGCTCCGGCCACTGCCGTCGCTCTCTCCCTCAGCTCCGGCTACCACCACCGCCCCCTCCCCCAGCTCTCTGGCTTCGGCCACCGCCGCCACTCTCCCCCCGCCACCGGCTCGGCCATTGTGCCACGTGCTCTTGCGGCTGATGGAGGTGAAGGGGAAGCTATCCTGTTGGGGCAACGGTATCCTGTCCCCTTGCATTTCAGTTTTTTTTTAAGAAAACGTACTTTTAGAAATGTCGAGTAAATAAACCGTGGTAATAATCTAGTGAAGTGGTCGAAAACAACACCTTAATTAGTAGCTAGCCGGCAAGCTGGCGGTGCTAATTGAATATAGCCCATCACCTCCTCTGTGTCCCCTTGACCAACAGCACCATGCATCATCATCACCTTCTCTGTATTTTTCAACTCAAACAAGATCGAGTTGTAAAACCGCAAAGTCTGGACTATTAATGTTATATTAGGGAGGCAACAGGAAGAAATTAATACACACAGAGAGAGAGATCATGCCATGTCTTATCTAGGGATCTTGTGTTTTTCAGATGTCACCATCCAATTGTTATGGACAAAAGCTTTGATGGGACAAATCAAAATGGTGTCATAAATCACTTTCAAGAGATCATCTTGTACCTCAAGGTTAACTGGCTGATAATATATAGTAGTATGAAGAAATGGTCATGGAGAGAGAGGAGGAAGAGTTGTTGTTGTTGCAACCTTTTCTTGATCTCCTTTATTACCTAAGCTAAGCTAGGAGTTCTTCTAGCTTGCACATGGCAAGAGATTGTTGCCCTTGGCCCTACACAAAAGATTCAACCGCCAACAGATGGTGATCTCTCCTTCTGTCACCGATGCAGACCTGGATAAAATAATGTTGGGGATCAGACGATCTCGGTTAGCCCAAATGCCTCTCCTTGATGTGAAGTGTCGGCAAAATGCTTTTGCAAGAGTGTTTGATAACATAAAACTTTTGCAAGCAACAGTGTGCAAAAAATGCCAGCTAGGTAAAAGAAAACATAGATTTCAAACATAAATAATTCCTTTAACGTAATATGTGTGGATGGCAGGATGGGATTAGTTCCAATAGGACAGTAAAGAGCACATATTGGAAACACCCGTAATTTTTTTATTAAGCATGGGATTAGTTACCGGGCAATATTGGAGAATACTATCGCAAAGATTTTTAAGTTGGAAAATACCATTGCATATGTTAATGACACGTGGGTCCAACTTATACATCTTTGCGATGGTACTTTTAAATTTTTTTACCACCTGAAGAGGGAATAAACAAACTAGAGGCAAAAGTCAGAATAGACCAGCCATCGGTTGGCACCACATCTCTCTCTCTCTAAGGGCCTGTTCACTTTGATGCCAAAAAAAACCTTACCAAATTTTGGCATTGCCAAAATTTCGACAAGTTGCCAAAATTTTGACAACTATACCAAAATTTTAGCAGGATTTCTTATTAAGTTACCAAAATTTGATAGCAAACTAAATGTAGCCACTTTTTTAGCAACTTTACCAAAATTTGATAAGGTTGAAAATGGCATCAAAGTGAACAGGCCCTAAATTCCTTCGGAATGCTTCAAGGATGACTAGTGTGAATTGTGAAAGCTTCTTAATCCATGCTTGCATGTCATAAGCTCATAGCTAGTAATCTAAATGTTGTTATATATAAATACAATTTTTAACTCACCGAAATTGTCAGTGACCTTTTTTTTCCATTTGACACCACTGGGATGGCCCCAAGTTTTGCTTTGTTATTTATAGGCTTGAGGAGATTTGAGGCAAGCTGCCCTCAGCTCTTGCAACCTTTCCTTCCTTCTATTCTATGGCTATGGCCCTATTTATGTTTGGCTGCTCCTGAATCTCCTCCTATTGCCCTTCTGTCTCACATCCCTGTCTCATAATTAAAGTCATAATTAAGGAGCTTCTCTAAGGTGATTGGGACTTGTTGCAGGGATCAGGAGGAAAACAACAAGGTAGAGCTCTCTGTTCTTGATTCTTGTTGTCTTTTGTTTTTCTGTTCATATGTTGTGCAGATTATAACATTCTATATGTTGAGGGGGAAAAAAGAAGGGAAAGAGATGATTGGTGCATTTTGGGAACAGGTTTGGTGCTTTCATGAAGAAACAAGAAATTGGATGTGTGAATGTGTTCTTGCTTAGTTTTTTTATGCTCTCTTTCCCTTGATTTTCTTCAGTTCTTGCATGATTGCATCTTGTTATGTTGCTCATTTGTCCTATCATGGGATGTTTTCTTGAACAAATATATACTATCAAGAAAGAATGAAAAGGTGTTCTTCAAAAAAAAAATGAATGAACAAGGAACATGAAATTTGTTCTGAAAATGTCAAATTCTTTCCCTGGAACTTACATTTGATGCCCATTAAAAATTAGCTTTGATCTGCACAGGATAACTTAAATTTTGGATTAACAACAAGAGGAAGTGGATCAACCAGACAAGAGGAAAACGTGCAAACAAGACAGGCTTGCAACATCACCTTGAGTCCAAAGCCAAGAAAGATGGGGCTGTCAATCTCATACCCACCAGACGACTACCTGCCAGCAATGGAGGACAACATGGGCAGGCTGTTCATCCGGTCCCTCAGCTTCGACGACGACATGGAGGCCGCCGCCGATGACTCGCCGTCGACATCACCGATGCCATCACCGTCGGCGACATTGCTGCCGGCATTCGGCTCCGGGGGGAAGCTGATCATAGAGGGCTCCCTGAGCTTCAAGAGAAGAGAGGCTGACCCGGTTCAGATGGAGACCATGATATCCATCAGGAGTCCCAAGTCTGACAAGGAGAGCTGCAGCAGCAAGCCAAATGCTACTGCTGGTGCATCGAGATTTGCGCTTGCCGGAGACCAGACACCGGAGGATTCTCCGGTGATCGCCGGAGTTGCCAGCCCCAAGCACCAGGCAGCGGCTGTCAGGCTGCAGAAGGTGTACAAGAGCTTCAGGACAAGAAGGCAGCTCGCAGATTGCGCCGTTCTTGTCGAGCAGAGCTGGTATGATTCTCATGCAAAATGCAAATATTTGTGCATTTTTGTCGTAGAATATTACTAGCGGAGATCACCGTAAAAGTATTCTTTGTCTTTTGGGTCATAGTGTTTGAATTGTTTGATGCTTGAATTCAGGTGGAAATTGCTCGATTTCGCACTGCTCAAGCGGAATTCGGTGTCGTTCTTCGACATTGAGAAGCCCGAAACGGCCATCTCGAGATGGTCTCGGGCAAGAATGAGGGCTGCCAAGGTAGAGTTCATTGGCATCATCCCTTATCCACCACCCTATGTCTCACTGACATGTGGGCCTATAACCCTGGACCCACCTCGTCGGTGAGACGAGGTGGGGGATTTGCAAAATCAGTGGCATAGGAGGGATTAATCTCTGAACTTTTTAACAGAGCCACCATTGTTCTTTCAGTAAGCATGGAATTTATACTGCATTACTGACATAGGTGTAGTGTTGCTATCACCTTAGGTTGGCAAAGGTCTGTCCAAAGATGAGAAGGCCCAGAAACTTGCTCTACAGCATTGGCTTGAGGCGGTACATGCTTCAAACATTGATCTCAACAGTATTTTCATGATTGAAATGTGCAATGAAAACTGAGATTTCATCTCATGTCTGATTATCAGATCGATCCTCGACATCGGTATGGGCACAATCTGCACTACTACTACCACCGTTGGCTCCATTGTGAGATCAACCAGCCATTCTTCTACTGGTGCGAATGCGCGAATCTCCGAAGACCGTTTCACATCTCCGAACCCAGTTGACAGACAAGGCTTACTGACAAATATGTGATTCTGAAACACAGGTTGGATGTTGGTGAAGGGAAAGATGTCAACTTGGAAGAGCATTGCCCTAGATGGAAGCTGCATAAGCAATGCATCAAGTACCTTGGCCCTGTAAGTTCCATCACTATTCTTCTGATCTGAAAATCTGAACCAACCATTTAGAAACTGCTCAGTTGTAGAAATTGCATCTGATTAACAGCATATGTTTGTTCTTGTTCTGGGATTGTAGAAAGAGAGGGAATCCTATGAAGTGATCGTCGAGGATTCGAGGCTGATATACAAACTGAGCCGTCAGATCGTCAACACGACCAAAAGCCGAAAGGGCTCAAAATGGATCTTTGTGCTGAGCACATGCAAGACTCTGTATATTGGTCAGGTAGATGACTACTCTGCATCCATGGCACTTCTTCATTGGCAAATTGCTGCTACATCTTTTCATCTTGCAAACATTCTGGGAACTGATGAGATGCTGGTTTTTCAACACGATTACAGAAACAGAAGGGCACATTCCAGCACTCCAGCTTCCTTGCAGGGGGAGCTACATCAGCTGCAGGGAGACTGATTGTAGAGGATGGAATTTTGAAGGTATGTTGGGGATGTGTCGATTTCTACGAGCAACACTGGATTTGCTCTCTCTGACTCTTGAAATTTGTTTGTTTCAGGCAGTCTGGCCTCACAGTGGGCATTACCGGCCAACAGAGCAGAACTTTCAGGAGTTCATGAATTTCCTGAAGGAGAGAAATGTGGATCTGACTGATGTTATGGTGAGAACCGAAGTGTGAATAATATCACAATTCATCTGCAGGAAATTATAGATACTGAATAGAGTTTTCCTTTGAACTGATTGGTGTGCCGTGTTTCGGTTTTGCTACAGTTGAACCCTTCGGAAGGTGAAGATGATGCCGAATTCAGCCTCAAGAGCAGCCATTCTAGGCAGGACTTGACCGAACTCTGTGAACCTGACATGCAAGAACATGAGGAACAAGTCACACAACACCATGGCGCTGACGAAACCAAGACCAGCAGTGATGCACCCACCATGACATCCACCGAAACCATGGCGAGCACACCGGCAATCAGGAAATCCACCTCAGCCAACAAGCTGCAAGGGAAGCGGCCTCCGAGGCTGCTGATCAGTTCCAACAACACAGAACTACCCGCAACACATTGCAACGGAAGGCCATCACCGGTTCACAAGGACATCGACGAGGATTCCACCATGTTCGGAGAGTGCCTCGCCTTCTGCAAGAAGAACCTGTTTGCAGAGGAAGGCAATGAAGAAGATGAGCTGGTGGAAGTACCAGAGGAGATGATCATGAACCGTATCAACTGCAAGAAGGCCACGAAGTCATACCAGCTGGGGAAGCAACTGTCCTTCCAATGGAGCACTGGAGCAGGTCCTCGGATCGGGTGCGTTCGCGACTACCCATCGGAGCTCCAGTTCCGAGCATTGGAGGAGGTCAGCCTGTCACCCCGGGGAACTAGGTCGACGAGGTTTTCGTCGCCGAGGCGAAAGCCCTTGACACCAAATAGCATTCCAGTTGCAAGATTTGGTTGTAGCCCTACAGCCCAAGGTGACAACATGGGGCTGAAGCCAAGGCAGAGGTGTGCTACTTGGACTGCTTTCTAATGTTGATATGGCATGCAAATTGCAAAGGCAATGCTGCTTTTCTTCTCCTTAACTGGAGGACGATGCAAAGTGTATAGTGAGTGAGGGAAACATGAGAATGTCATTCTTTGGTTTTGTAGATGTGTAGAGCAAACACACCATGGCTTCCAAGGAACAAGCAATAAGATGTACCTTCCGAAGAAGTAATAACAAGTAATAAGATGTATTTTTAGATATGACACATTTGACACTCGCAAGGTGCAAGCAAAAATAGAGATTACAGGTTTTCAGGGAGGAAAAGAAACAGATGCCAGAATTTGTACCACAAAAGATGATCAAGCTAAGGAATTTGATGTCTCCAATCAATAATCTGTAGTATGAGCAAGCATTTGATGTGTCATGCAGGTTCATCACATGCACATGCATTTATCGATCACTTTACAAACCTAAAGCAACAAAGCCAGAGAGCGACGTAGAAGGGAATCAGGCAATCACAAACTCAAACAAATAAGGACATTTACCAAGCAGATTTGTGCTGATTTGTAACATTGACAGCCATGTCACACTCGTAGTAAATTGAAGATAGCATTCATCTAATCAGTTCATGTTGCCCAAAGCCAGTAGAGCATAACCATGTCTCACAACAATGGAACTTTAGTTATAGGCAACAGACCAAAACTGCAACCAGACAAGTACCCATTACATTTCCATTGCTCTTAACTCATAACATATAAGGCCTACTCAGAAAGACAAACCATTGTTCAAGAACTGGACCGGAAAAGCAGTACACGAAATAAGGCGACAATATGGCATTTTACTTTCAAAAGGCAGGAACCACGAAATAACACAACCGCCACAGCTTCAGCGCAGCCTCCTGGCCTCCCTCTCAGACTCGAGCAGGGTGAGGATGTCGCCCTCACGGACCGGGCCCTTGACGTTCCTCATGATGAGACGGTTCTGGTCGTCGAGGAACTTCACTCTGACCTGGGTCACCTGACCCCTGGAGCCGGTGCGGCCCATCACCTTCACCACGACGGCAAGTTTGACCTGGGTATCCATGCTGCACAAGCAGGAAGCATATACAGTCAGGCAAAACTGATGTTCTATACAAACCAGCAGCAGGTAATTCAATCGCAGTCATTTCAATATTACAGTTCGTGAATTTATGTATCAGATCAGATTTCAATATTGCTTTCAAAGGATAAAAATGTTCAGGCAGTTTATCTACAACTCAAAATTACAGTAACAAATGTTAACATCTGGAATTCAAACAAAAACAGTTCCTAAATATCAGCTATTGTTAATTTCAGTCACAGCAACTACTTACCCCAAATAATCACGGTCATAGTCATACTACTCTACCCAAGCAAAAGATAATTTAAGAATCGATGCAAATATTTCAGTCACAACGGATCAGAAATTTCATGAAGACGTATATATCTATTAACGATTCACTCATCCTAGAAACAAATCCGACGAATCGATTAACAAAACAATAAACCGAACCACGACCACAAGACCAATCCATCTATCTACCGGCTTTGCTACCCAACGCGGATGGATCATCGCGACGCCGCTGACGCAACGATCTAGCATGCCGTTACCCCCGCACAGCGCGGCGACGCGGATGGATCATCGCGACGCCGCTGACGCAACGATCTAGCATGCCGTTACCCCCGCACAGCGCCGCCGCGCGCGTCCCAAGGATCACGGTGAATACATCGCGAAGGAAGCAAAGAGGGAAGGGGGGAGGAAGCACGACGACGCACCTTCTCTTCTCCGGCTGCTAGCGACGGCGGACGGCGAAGGAGGGCACGGATGCGGCGGCGGCGACGGCGCGAGGAGGAAGGAGTGGAGGCGAGGGTGAAAACCCTAGGGTTCGTCTCGGGTGGTTTATATAGAGGGAGCTGAGCTGAGTGGGTTGGTGGCCTGTTAGGCCGGGCCAGGCCGGCTGACTCGGCCCATCAGATAAGCTACTTTTCTTTAGTTTCATTTTCTTTTTACCTATCGATCTTTCGATAAATTTATAGTTTCAAATCTTGCGAAAATTTCAAAGAATGGATATAACAAATTATAAGTAAAATAAAAAAGAAAAGAGACAAACATGTCTAAAATCGTAAATCTAGAAAAAAAACATGTTTCTAAAATTTTTTTTGATGCACTGTAACTAAGTGTAAGTGCAAAACAACTGAATGTAAGGCGGAGTTTCTTTGCATGAGTTCCCTACTCACTCTTCTCGTTTTTATGGGCACGCTTTTCAAACTACTAAACAGTCTATTTTTTGCAAAAAATTTTCCATACGAAAGTTGCTTAAAAATCATTTTGATCCATTTTTCAAAAAGAATTAGCTAATATTTAATTAAGAGTAAATTGCATCGTCGGTACACGAACATGTCAGATGGGTGCAATCTAGTGCACGAACTTGTAAAATGCTCGTTTTGGTGCATGAACTTGTTTAATGCATGCGGATGAAGGCGAAAAGGACATTATATGGCTAATCTTATTGATTCATGGACTAATTAGGATACTATGTAAACATATATCTGAGAAGATTGCTATTAGACATACACCTCTCCAATAAAAAATAGAATATGACATAGTGATAGTAGAAAAAAGATGAAAAAAAAACGAGCAATGATATTTTGGTCCTCGTTCGCACGAACTAGGCAAGTTCGTATACTAAAACGGGCATTTTACAAGTTTATATACTAAATTGTACCATTCTAACAAGTTTGTGTACCAGCAATGCAATTTACTCTTTAATTAATCATGCTCTAATGGATCGCTCCATTTTCCGTGCAAGAGGGATTTGATCCCAACAAGAAGTAGCGAAAGTGTAAGTTGGATATACAGCAACATGAATCTTGATGCAAGATCCTACAAAGTAAAAATAAAATCTGTCACAAGTAAAATAGCAAAACCTTTGAAAAAGGGGAGTACCTATTGATCTTTGGATAAATTGGAGCTTCAAATCTTACAGAACTTTTAATCAATGGATATAACCCATTTTGAATGAAAAATGACAAAAATGTAAAAAAAAACCGTATATCTAGAGATAAAAAAAAACACTTGTAAAATCTAATTTTAGTAAATTGTAACTAAGTACAAATTCTCTATAGCCAAGTATAAGTGCTCTGTAATCGAGGGTAACTATAAATTGGATATACATGAGCATGAATCTGGATGCAAGATCTTACTGACGAAAAATCGAAAGACGGGAACCAAAAATCTATCACAAGTGAAATAGCAAAACCGTTTGAAAAAATCATTAAGTGATGGAAAACCTGCAGTCTAAATGTCTGAATTCTGGTTAGCATTGGATGAACACCACATTTCTATTTGATAACTTCTCGATTTAGCATGATCACTGTTTGGATGGGTTTAGATAGGTTAGTTTGGGTTTGCAGTCGAAAATGTTTTAGGGTTAATCCTCTGTCCTGATTCCGACTCAGTTTCAACTCCAAGCTTTTGATGGTCTAAATCAACGGTAAACATTTCATTTTTCTTAAAAAAAAATTCTATTGGATTTGATAGTAAAATCGTCGATGCTAAAGAGGCTTCAACCATGTTAACCCACGCTAATTATTAATATATTGGTGTTGCAGATTTAAATTCTAAACCCCAACTCTTAGCTTCCTTGAAGCGAGCATGTCACACAATATACAAGTCTGCTAGTCTGAAATCATCCGTAGTATTCATCATTAGTGTCATATTGTTGAAGAGATCTGACACAATGGAATACACAGCGCAGTGAGTTCTTGCATGTCCCAACTACCCATCACTAGCTAGATATCACAAATTTGAAGTTGAAAAAACAAAAACCAAAATGCAGCACCCAATCTTCCTTCTGACCTTTAGGGGCTAACTGGACTTAACATGCTATACAGACAAGAAATCAATCGGCTGTGAGCAGAGGAGGTCATGAGCTGCGATGCTGGGCATTGGAGATTTGCAGACTCAGCGCCATGCCACCAGAGGGAAGCCCAGTTGTAATTCAGGGCTGTTTTTGTGACTCAAGGTTCGGATTCACATAATCAATTCACCGTCCTGGAGATGAATTATCCTGTAAATAACAAGTGAAGTGAACACACATAAGGACCAACTTCAGGGCATAGCAGTAGACAACGAAGGAGTGTGTTTTGTGTTTTTACCATGTCAATATCTTCGGATCCATGTAGGCAGTCAGCTGTTTCGGCATTTGCATTTGCTGGCTCTGGAGACGGCAAAGCAGAATGCTGCATTCATGTGGAGAAATCACTTAAGACTATGAAAATGGGAGAATAGTAGCATTGCCAGAAAATCGATATAATCATATGTATACTTGCCATAAGGGATGACTGGCTTTGTACTTGTTTTCTGCCTGGGTCAATTTCCGACTGACCTTCTATGTTCGGAGTAGTTGCTGTTGATGATATACAAACTCAGTGATCGAGAAGATTTATGTTCACAAACAGAAACCTCAAAAATGAGAGGTTAATGGAAGATGTGACAATGGTACAGTGGTATATATTTGACTAAAGAAATAACCATGTTATTGTTATCTCCAAGGATAATGCACAAAGTAATCGAGTAACTAACTATGTAATTGAAAAAAAAAATAGTAAACATTGAAGGAACAGAGTTCAGAAATTCTGGAAGGAAATATAAAATTAACAGACATGCCAGAACAGGTTATTAATATCTTATATTCTTACGACAATGGAGCCACCAAGGAACTTGTAAGAAATATTAAAAAGCTCTCTAAGAAATGATAGTACCTGCTTCATCAAAAACAGGTATCACGGTATGCTCATTAGCTGGTTCACACTGACTACCTGGAATGCTGTTTGCACATGATAAATTAATAGCATTAAGACTGTAATTCATATAACTTTCTTGATGAGAATTGAAAGTATTGAATGGAGCATCACCTTTCTAGTTTTTCTCTATTCACATCTTCTGTTACATCCTGACTATTAGAAACAGGTGAGCTTCTTTTTATTACCTGGTATACAGATAGTTTAGAGAGATACTTGGTTTTAAATAAAAGAAGCCAAACAAATTATATATTAGGAAGAACAATCCTGCAAGCAGGACTTGTACCAAGAAATGCACACAGGAGATAATGCAAATATGCAATTGAAGCTTTCAATATTTGCATCTCATATGGTCTCACCTCATGCCCAATACTGTCAAATATGTCTTGAAATTTATGTAAAGCAATCTCCATGTTGTGAAGCTCCATAAGCATTGCCTAAATAAAGAAAAACAGTAAATATCAACTTAGATTTTTGGAGTTTCAGAGAAATTGGAAAGGCGTTATGCTATAACTGAATAACCTGCTTCTCTGAAGTCAGTCTCTCAATAATCTCATCCTTCACCAATAAAGATTTCCTAAGGTAACATCGTTAAGGAGACGCAACCAACCAAATGAGATCAATAGAAACTAAGATTGACTGCAATGACTTTTAACTCAGTAGAAATGGATATTTCTTCTAGTTTGGGCTGAAATTTGGTGTTGAGTTTCTCAGCCTCAAGGCGTTCCCTCAATTCATATATCAACCTCGCCCTATTCCGGAGTTCAAGCTGGTAATCATTAATTTTTTCTTCGAAAAACCTAAGTTTTTCTGCATAAGTGAAAAATCACATTTAGAACAGCAGATTTTAATGAAAAATCACATTTAGAACAGCAGATTTTAATGAAAAATCACATTTAGAACAGCAGATCTTAAAAAGGATATCAACTTATATATGGTCATCATTATCAACATATGGAAATTGCAATCTGACTACAAGAAGCAACATACCAACAAAATCTTTCTCAAGCACAGAAATCTTCTCTACTTTACCCTTCAAGTCAGAAACTGAAATTGCAACATAACACAGATAAGTATCTAAAGAATGCACATTAGTGCAATAAAAAATAAAAAGACAATCATTTGGTAAAACAATAGTAGAATAAGATGTTTCAGCCATTTGCATACCTACATTTTCCTTGTCGCCAACTAGACATTTCACATTACCGAGTACTTGTTTCACCGCAGCGACTTCCTTTCCTACTGAACTAAATAAAGCCAGATGAGCATTCAGCTTTTCTGAAATCACAGCAATCTGTTTATCCTTCATCTGGATAGTCCATTGCAGAGAACAAGCAGAGTCCTGCCTATCAAACATGGTATCATGAGCCGATAATCAGTTTGATTCCACATACAGGTAATTCATAATTAATGCAAATGTCAGAAGCAAGAACAGGGCAGAATTATATGACAGATTAGACAATGTACAATAAAGCAGACTCCAGATACACTCTAGTCTTACAAATGCATAGCAATTGTTAAGGAAAAACTATGATATTAATGGCAAGTAGCCTCACATAAATATGCAATTATTACAAAGACCAAAAGTTTAGCATGGAGAGAAAACATAAAAAATGAGTTCAGCTCCATATAAACTACTACAGAAGGAAGGGGGAAAATAAAGGTAAACACCTGCCTCGTAATGTTTTATGAAAGCCTCCTTTGATTGAAGCAGTCCCTCCATGTTATCTTTTAACTCCTTTTCGTTTTTCTCCAGCTGCTCATTTTCATTTTCAAGGCATTTTATCTGTAAAAAAAGGTATTGCAATGAACCTCTGTTGAATAGGTACAAACCAAGCACTAGGGGAAGAATGAAGCATCCACGGTGTGATGTGACATAACATGCATATCAAAAATCAAGTGCTGCTTCTACCTAATCAACCAAGCACCAGGACTAGTCATTGTTACGATTCGGTAGTAAAAGTACAAATCTACACTATGATAGACAACTGGCCCAAACAGCCCCAAATGTTGGTATAATCGCCACGAAACACAACATGGCAAACACCAGCATGATCACAATGTGTTTAAGTTAGGGACTGTAATTTAGTTAGGCATTAAACTGTAACATAATCCAACACATGAGCTCTACCCAAATCCATGAGACGAGAACACAAGCTACTTGGCGAAATTGAGAGTTGTGAAGGGGCTAAGCAGAACGAACCCTGGACTCGAGCCGACGGAGCGCGTCGTCCCTCGCCGCCACCTCCGCACGCAGCTCCCGCGTCTCCCGACGGTGCCCCTCCTCCGCCTCCTTCCATCTCTGCTCAAATTCCACACCAAAACCCCCACCACGCATCAGCAAATTCGACCCAAAACCCTAATCCCCAGCAAACAGAGAATCCAATCACAGTCCGTAGAGTAAGAGAGAGAGAGACTTGGCTGGCGGCGTGGAGCTCCTCGCGCGCCGCACGCTCCCGCTCCTGCGAAACCGTAAAATGGAAGAGGAATCAGCACTACGAGAGGAAGAGGAAGATCCGACAAGGCATTGGATGATCGGCAAGCAAAGCTCACGCGGAGGAGCCGGTGCTCGGAGACGAGCGAGAGAAGCTGCAGCTGCAGCTGCGGCAGCGCCGCCGCCTCCGCCTCCGCCGCCATCGCCGCCGCGCCGGTGAGCTCCCGCTTCCTCTTCCTCTCCACTCGACGAGCCAAAAAAAAAAAAAACTCCCACGGGGCCATATACTGGGCCTTGCCAGCCCAAACCCTTCCGGCCCAAAAGGCCCATCCGCGGAAGCCGAATCTCCATCGAACGAACTCGACCGTCGATTCAGATCCGACGGCTGAGATCCCACCCAAACCCTAGCCCCCACTCCGCCGCCTCCCTTATAAATAGCTCCTCTCTCCCTCCTCCCCCAAAACCTCTGCCCTAATCCACCCTCGCCGCCGCCGCCGCCGCAAGTAGCCACCCGCGCCGCCGCCGCCGCCGTCGCCGGAGAAGGAGAGGAGCAGCCATGGGTCGCGTGCGGACCAAGACGGTGAAGAAGACCTCGAGGCAGGTGATCGAGAAGTACTACTCGCGGATGACGCTCGACTTCCACACCAACAAGAAGGTGCTCGAGGAGGTGTCCATCCTGCCGTCGAAGCGGCTGCGCAACAAGGTGGCCGGGTTCACCACCCACCTGATGCGCCGCATCCAGCGCGGGCCCGTGCGGGGCATCTCGCTGAAGCTGCAGGAGGAGGAGCGCGAGCGCCGCATGGACTTCGTCCCGGAGAAGTCGGCGCTCGAGGTGGAGGAGATCCGCGTCGACAAGGAGACCATGGAGATGCTCGCCGCGCTCGGCATGGCCGACCTCCCCGGCGTCGAGCGCCAGCAAGAGGTCTCCGCGCCGACCTACTCCCGCCCGCCGTACGGTGGCCCCCGCCGCGACCGCGTCTAGATCGTCGTCGCCTCTTCGCCGCCGTCGTCGCCATGGCTCGCCTAGCTCTGCGTACTACTGAGTTCTATGTTTTGTCTTTAGATCTATGGTTGCTTTCAAGATTTTGAACTTAGCCGTGATGATGATGCTTTAAGTTACCATGTGTTTTGGTGGACATGATTATCTTTTTCTATCGCACTGGTGAAATCTTGAGTGATTCGATATATTACCATGAAATTCCCATATGCTCCTTGTGTTGTAATTGCTTGTTCATGTGTTCTTCAAATTGATGTCTTGGTATGAGTTATATACCTTGCTCTGTATATCGCGTAGAAAATGTTTGATTGGTTTGTTAAAGTTGTTGATAATTAGTGTTACTATAGACTATATAACCCAATGAACCTTAACATAGGATTTCGTTTCATTGAGTGTAACATATGGGAGAGCTTAGAGTTGGTTTTATTGTCTGTGGAATAGGGTAGAATTCTATTAACTCAATGAACCTTAATATAGGAGAATTGGTTTCATTGTTGTCTCTAGAATAGGGTAGAAATTGGTGAACAATTATGCAGGTTGTGATTCTTTGATCATTTGAGTTGGTACAGTGCTATCCATCTATGACTGCAATTGCCTTGCGAAATTCTATACTCTGATGTTCTTGATTTTCCTGATCTAAAATGCTTTTGGATTTGGAGTAGCTAGGTCTCCTTAGTTTGCACCTATCATACTTATATTTTCCTTCTTTGGAGGAACTAAACTGTCATATCTGTTGAATTCTCGTGCCAAAATCTGTAGAATTCTAAGAGCATTTTTGTTCTGAATTGCTGGTCTTTGGTATGGTAGGGTCTGTTTGGTTCCATTGCCCAGCTAGCCTAGCTGGGTAAGGGCAAGCCAACTCGTTGCCAGCTTGCCAGGCTTGCCATATACCCTTTGTTTGGTTGGTGTGCTTTCTATGGCAAGAATTAGTGGCTAGCCGTTTGGTTGCTTCAACGAATCATCTTTCTCTTTAGAGTATTTTGTGCCGCTTCTTTTCATATTGAGCAAAATAATATTGCACACAGATCAAATTTTTTTAACTTATGGCTTTGTCACAAGAACACTATAGATTCTTCCACAGTTAACTTGGCCACAAGAATAATACGGATAGAAGTAGTAAAAAGGGCAAAGCTATATGCTAAAAGAATTCCTTGAAACAATCAAACATCTTTTTGAACTACTTTATTACAAGTTCGAACTAAAGCATATCAATTATTTAAATAATATCTAAAGTGCATGTTTCATTCTTAAACTATTTAGCTTGAATGCATAGTAATTATTCAAACATCTCAGCAAAGAAATTACATAGCAGCTGGATAGTTTTGTATTATCCATTGGGTCACATATTCCTTAATAGAATCCAGTGGCTTACCCTTCAACATGGCAGCTATATTCTCATGGGTCGCGAGATAAGTCTGCAGCTCAAGTCGAACCATGACAGGGTATTCCGTCATCTCATCAATTATCTTAATAGGGATTCATTTGGATGTGTTATATGTGTGAAACACATGGTTTCAGACATATTATCTGTAGCCCCTGTTATCTCATAAACCACATTATCATCAGTTCTAACTCTTTTACCTTTATCAGATTTTCTACCTTTTGCACGCCTAGAAGATGAGCTACTTCCAGTATTGTTCTCTTGATCTGGAAGACAATCTGAGTCATAATTTGATGAAGGGTCAACATCACCAGGACTGCCATTTTTATCACCAATAAAATCATCATCTTCAGTCATTGGATGGTCATATGGTGTTTGCAGAACATTAAATTCCCCTGTTGCATGCTTGTCTTGAAAAATAAACTCCATTTCATCGTACCAACGTATGGGGACGTTAATGAATTTAGCCCTTTTATCTTTGGCCTACACATGACAAGAAAAATATCAGAAACATAAACATCCATATTATATGTAAACACGATAGTTATTTGCAAGGAAAGAATAGTTAGAACACTCACATTAGTCATTCGAACAACTTCAATCTCATCATATAGGATTTTTTTCTCAACATCATCAAAGTTGGCCCCGCTCAAATTCTTTGCCTCCATAATCACCTTCCACTGAGCCTTCAACTTGTGATAAACTTGTCGACTTGTGAAGTTTGTGTGATACTTGCCATTAATTTGCTTTGCACATTCCTCATGATGGACTTCTTTAAATACAAGTTGTCTTCCATCATGCTTGGTGCCGACGGCCAGAAAGTTCCTAGCTACTACAGCCCATACCATCGACAATCCCCATTAATGCAAAATCAGAATCCAGCACCAAAGGCCCAAAGCAAGATTACTGGATGTGGAAATAGTACATGAAGCAACATAGACAGCTCGTATACATCCATCCATGGCAGGAAGATGGAGAGCTTTAATAAAAGAAAAAAAGTCCTCGTACCTGCAAATCTAGATAGACGAGGCGCCATCGGCGGAAGAAATCAAATCTGGGAGCTTCTCAGTTCTCACCACGAGCAATCTTGTGTCCAGTAGCAATCTTCTGCAAGAACATGCTCTCCTCAAATCGAGTTGGCCTTGCTCTCCGATTTACTGCGTGGAGGCCGGAGGCTCTACTGCATTTATATATGGGCACGGGATTACTGCAGATGAATCGAGGATGCTTGAAAGTTCGGCAAGGGGAGGAGGGTGATTGCAAATTGACCGGATCTATGAGCCCTATAGTTCAGCCAAGAGTGGGGGAAGAGAGCGACGAGATCTGCAAGCCCGATTCTTTGGCGAAGAGTGGAGGAGTAGGACGAAATTGGGGGGCTGGTTGTTGAAGAAGGTAACAACTTTTGAGAAAAATCGCTTCATCCTTATCAACAACTTTTTTCACGCGAGGAGCTTGCCGTCGGAGGCGAGCCGATTCGGCTCTCCCTTGTGAGCTATCCTTTTCTCGCTCCTATGGGCTAGCTCGCCCCCATGGGCTAGGATTTTTTTCTGATTCCAAACGACTGTCCTTGCCAGGCCAGGCTAGGCCCCTGCTAGCCTTGGATCCAAACGCACCCTTGATAACCAGAGGGGAAAAAAGGGGAGCATACCTTGTAAACCACTCCATACCCACCCCTGCCAAGCTCTTGTTCCTTTGAGAAGTCACATGTAATGGTTTTCAAGAATTCCATTGGCAGATACATTGGCGTCGCAGTTGGATCTTGTATGTTGTTCTCCAGTATACCAAAATCCACATGTTTTTGCACCAGGGAATCATGTTTACTAGTTGATCCTTCCATTCCTGATTACATAAAAGGAACCCTTAGAGATAACAAGAAAAATCCTCAAAACCCCATACACCAAATTAAACACAAGTTGCTTGGGTATCCTGTGTGGGTTCGGCCGGTTTTCCTTCAATTAGCCGTGTAACTGTAAGGTATTTATGCTCGGTTTCTCTCTTCTCAATGAAAAACAAGAACTCACTACCACTACCCTTTCGGAGGTTTGCTTCGGAAAATAATAATAATAATAATAAAGAACTGCTTTCACAATGCAAACGGGGAACTGACAGTGAGCCCTGCAAGAGAAGCAGATCAAGTCGGCTTTTCCACAAACACCTTGCATGCACGATGCACATTTGATACCGTCGTAATCCCAAGGAATTGATTCATCCATTGTCTAAAACGTCATTTAGACCGGAGGTAGCAATGTGTTCCCTGCTCCTAAGAACTAATCGTGCATGCAAAGAAAGAGAGAGAGAGAGGACTCACAGGATGATCCGATGAACAACAAAAAAGAAAATGAAAAAAGAAAGGCAAGAGAGCTGCAGGAGGAGGTAGTCAGATGGTAGCTCGCACGCAGAAAGAAACATCGACGAACTAACCGGCGCGAGTTCGCTGACGGCCGGCGCTTGGTATATATAAAGCCATCGATCGGCTAGCTCAGGAACCTACTGTCAATTATCTACTCTCTCGCGTATCAAAATATAAGAACCTATGTTATGTGTGATGTAGTACTGTTAATTTGGACGGAGATATTTGAAGTATTAGGATATGTCCTATCCAGGACTACGTTCTCATAATTTAGGTGCTGTGCCCCAACACACAATTACTCACACGCTATATGATATACTACCTGTCCTAAATTATAAGAACATATGATCGGCATAGCTAGATTCGTAATACTATGAAATTTGCTCCATCCGATAATAAGTTCAACTAGAAAATAGGCGTGCCAGTTGACACGCCGATTAATAAAGCCTGTGGTGGTATTGTTGGTCCTAGTCGAGATACATATGATCATTTTTATTTTTTATTTTTGGAGATTCGAAGACTCTGTACAAACGGAAGCAAAGAGACCAATAAAAAAGAAAATATTAGAATGAAAAAAATTCACCTCGAGAACACATATTGATAGTACCCACATGGATAGTTAGACATATTCCACAAAGTCAAGTTAGAAAGTCAAGTTAGAGGGAGTAGTGTAAGATAAGTCAATTGGTCACATGGATAGACCAATGTACGTGAAATTCATATACTTAAGAGCTAGGGAGATCAAATGTACGGGGTTATCTAAAAAATAGTTTTATTTTTATTGATTAATTCTAAAAGATATATGAAATGGAATATTTGTGATATTCCTATTTGAAAAAATAATATGGAAATGTATAATTCTCAACAATATATATGTTATAAAGTGGCAACAAATCCTAAGTGGTTTCTACAGTTGGATCACTCTTCCAAATAAAAACAGCTTAGGGTCTATAAGTAAATACCTCTATATGCAAATTTTAAGTGGATCAGCATATGTGGGAGTACATCCTTTTGATCACATCTAATCGAACTGTTCTAGATGTTGTATCGTTAAGTTACTACTTTTTCTTTAAAAAACTGTTAAGGTACTACATGCTTCTAGAATTATCACATAACACTTTTGTTCTCTATTTTTCTTGATCTTCTGCATTTTTTTTCCTTAGACGAAATCCATGATTTATTTGATAAGCCAGGGGCGCCATGGGGAATCGTATAATATTATGGTATGTTTGAGAGAAGGGGAAAATAAAAAGATCTTAAAAGATATGAAAAGATACTAAAATAAGGTGAGTCATTACAACATGATTAATTAAGTACTATTTTTTTAAATTTTAGAAAATAAATTAATATGAATTTTTAAGCAACTTTCTTTTAGAGTTTTTTTTTATTGTTTAGCACTTCAAAAAACGTACATATGAGCGGAGAACAAGCATCTATAGCATGAAATTATTTTAGAATACTCGGTCCATAATTGTCCACTCATGCCGAACAGAAGCCTGT